CCACTTTGGGAGCAGGGCTGGTGTGATATGTGGTGCTGGTCAAACCATGGTCCTTCCACTTTTCTAAGCTTGCCTGAGCGGACACTTTAGAGTGCTGAGCTATCTCACTGGCTCTTATAATCTTCTTGATGATTTACTGTACTCTATTTAATAGTATTTTATTGAGGAGTTTTGCATCTATGTTATAGTTTGGAGTTTTTACAAGGTGAAGAGTACAGTACAGGACACATCTTATAAGATTATTTTATAGTGTATCACCCAAAGAATCATATACAAAGAATGCAGGAAATCTGCCCACACACTGAAGACCAAAGAACCTGGCTGAGGGCCTGGATCCACAGTAGTGCCCTGCATGAGTCCAGCTGAAGATCCAGAGTCCATAACAAGCCCTCCCGCAGTCCACTTGGGGGCCTAGAGCCTGCACAAAGTCTCGTCTGGGCCCCCTCCTGGATCTGTGCAGGAAAGGCCCGCAGGTCAGTGGCAGAAGCCAGAAAGCCCGCGCCAGTGGGATGAAGGCTCTGTGCCAGCAGGCTGAGGGGTCTGCGCTGGAGCCAGGAAGCGACGCTCAAGGCAAGAGCCAGAGCTCCCCTGCAAAGTACCACAGCCACCCTCAGGACAGTGAGGTCCCGAGCTTCTCTGGCAATGAGGAAAGTCAAGTTCCCATTAGGAAAGGCAACTTGACCAGCTCCTCCAGAGGCTGAGCTGTGCGCCGCCTTCCTTCTGGAGCCAGGAAGCGATGGAGAAGGTGAGGACCAGAGCTCCCCCAGAATGAACCACAGCCATTCTCAAGGACAAGGAGGTCCCAAGCTCTTTCTCCACTGAGAACACACAAGTTCATCAGGTCCTAGAGCAAAATAGCCCAGGAGAATCAGCAGCTTCCAAGAGCTCCGACACCTTCTCCAACAGCTTCTCCAAACAACCTCTCGAGAGCCTCCTAGTTCTGCCTCTTATGCTGCTAGCAACAATCCTCAGGTGGGCCTCCCATACCCTTATTGTTTAGAGCTTTTTTTTTTTTTTTTTTTTGTGGAACCAGGGATTGAACTCAGGCCCCTATGCTTGCCAGGGAAGCACTTATTCCACTGAGCCATCTCCCCAGCCCTTATTAACTATTCTTTAAATTTCTTTTAGAATTTAGCTGGGAATCCACAGGACCTGGGCTTTTCTTTGTTGGTAAGTTTTTTCATTATGTTTTCAGTTTTGTTGAATGACATTGAGTTATTCAGGAGTTTTGTATCTTCTTCATTCAGCTTGGGTAATTCATATGTAACGTTATAATTTGTATGTAGGTGTCCCCCTAAAGCCTCACGTGTGTATCAGTCAGGGTGTTACTAGAGGAACAGATAGCGGATAAAACACATGATGTACACATGTGTAAGACATTACAAGAGTGGCTTACGACGAGCAGCCCGAGTCATCTGAGGAAGTGTGCAGAGGGCGTCTGCACCCTGAGACGGAAGGGTTCAGCCCCAAGGTCTGGGGCTCACTGCAGGGTTGGTTTTTTTTGGCGGAACCAGGAATTGAGCACAGCCCCTTGCGCTTGCCAGGCGAGCACTTATTCTACTGAGCTATCTCCCTGGTCCACTGCAGTGTTTTGTGCAAATCTTTTTTTTTTTTTTTTGTGGCTGGCTCAGCCCACCCTGGGGGCAAGGCTGGCTTGGCATGTGGTGCCAGGGATTGAACAGTAGTCCCTGCACGCTGGCCTAAGCTTGCCTGATCAGGTGCTTTAGGCTGCTGAGCTATCTCGCCAGCCCTCGTGCAAGCCTGCATCAGTTGGCTGATGTATCTGCAATGGAAGGGATAGAAGGCTGATGAGTCTTCTCAGCTGAAGACTCCAAGCTGGAGGCCGAAGAGTCTGTGCTGGAAGCCAGGAGATGGTGTCCAAGCTGACTACAAAGACTGAAGATCCTCTAAGGAAGTGGAATGCTCAATCCTTCCTCAACCCCTTTATATACCCTTTTTCGCTGGGGGAGGGGCATGGCCCAGCGATGAACCCAGGGATGCAACCAAGTCGATACAGTGTATTGACTGCTACAGGTGGGTAGTCCGCATTTCAGGTAAGGAGGGGAGAGGGGCTTGCTAGTAGTCTCGGCTGCTGCCCCTCCCTTTCTGCCACCGTGAACAGCTGCCCTCTGCCTGTGCCACTGCACCTTGGAGCCAGCCAAGTATGGACTGAAGCCGCCACTAACTGTGAGCTAGACAAACCTCCCCTTCTTTCATTTTGGGGGTCAGGTGTTTTGTTCCAGCAACGAGAGAAAAGTAACTGAAATGTGTGTCTAGGAAGCTGTCCATGTCCTCTGTGTTTGTTTTGTCCAATGAGACTAAAGATTTTTGAAGTATTGATGGTCTTCTGAATTTTTGTACAATCTCTAATGATTCCACCATTCTCATTTCTTATTGTGTGGATTTTTTTGTTTCCTTTTTTTTTTGGAACCGGGGATTGAACTCAGGCCCTTGCGCTTGCCAGGGAAGCATTTATTCCACTGAGCCATCTCCCCGGCCCCTACTTTTTTTTTTTGATAAGGTTGGCTAGAGGTTCATCAATTTTACTTATTCTTTCAAAAAGCCAACTCTTGGGGCCGGGGAGACAGCTCAGTAGAATAAGCACTTCCCTGGCAAGCGCAAGGGCCTGAGTTCAATCCCTGGTTCCGCAAAGAAAAAAAAAAAAAAGCCAACTCTTCAATTAATTCTGTGTATTGTTTTCTTAGTCTCAATGGTGTTAATTTCTGCTCTGATTTTATAATCCCCTCCCTTCTTTGGGTTTTGGGCTTGACTCGCTCCTTTTTTTCTAGAAGCTTGAGGTGCAGCGTAGGGTTATTTATTTGTGCGCTTTCTGTTTTCCTGATGTGAGAATTCCACACTGTGAATCTCTCCGAGGACTGCTTTCATTGCCTCCACAGGTTCTGCTAAGTTGTATCTGCATTTTTGTTTGATTGTAAGTATGTTTAATTTCTTCTTTAGTTTTATCTGTGACCCATTGGTTGTTCAGAAGGTGTTATTTAATTTCCATGTGTTCATGGAGTTTTTACTATTTCTTTTTCTTTTTTTCAGTACCAGGGATTGAACTCAGGCCTTTGCTCTTGCCAGGCAAGCGCTTATTCTACTGAGCCATCTCCCCGGCCCCAAAGTGTAAGTATTTTTTCCCCCAATTTCTTTTGTTGATAATTTTCAATTTCATTGCACTATGGCCCAAGAATATGCATGGAATAATTTCAATTCATTTGCATTTACTTAAGCATGTCTATGTGCTGTTATATGGCCTATTTTAGAGAACATACCTTGTGCAGCTGAAAAGAATGTGTTTTCTGATGCTGTTGGGTGGAACACTCTGTAAAGGTCTATTAAATCCATTTGTTCACAAGTTTAGTTTAGTTTTGCTATTTCTTTGCTGATTTTTTTGTCTAGTTGATCTATCTCTGTGTGACAATAGAGTGTTGGTCTCCTGTTACTATTGTGTTATTGCATGCCAGATGTGGTGGTGCATGCCTATAATCCCAGCACTTGGGAGGCCGAGGCAGGAGGATCAGTGTGAGTTTGAGACCAACCTGGGCTACAAAGTGAGCTCAAGTTTAGCTTGGACTGCGTAGCAAGACCTTGTCTCAAAAAGACAAAAATAAAATAAAATAATTTTGTTATTGTTTATTTAATTTTATTTAATTTTAATTTAATTATTTAATTTAATTTAATTTTAATTCTTTATTTTTCATGTTTGTTAAAGTTGTCTTATATAATTGGGTCCTGCTGCATTTGCTGCATGTATATGTTTAGGATTGTTATCATTTCCTCTTGCAGTTTCCCCCTAACAAGTATGTACTGACCTTCTTTATTTCATTTGATCATTCTTGGTTTGAAGTCCACGTTGTCAGCAACCAGAATAGCTGTCTCAGCTTTTTTTTCTGGATTCCTATCACATGGAGTATTATTTTCCATTCCTTGACTTTCAACCTATGAATTTCCTTTTGAGTTAAATGTGTATGTGTGTGTGTGTATGTGTGTGTGTGTGTGTGTGTGTGTGTGTGTTTTGCAGAACCAGAGATTGAACTCAGGCCCTTGCGCTTGCCAGGCAAGCACTTATTCTACTGAGCCATCTCCCTGGCCCTTTAAATGTCTTTCTTTCTTTCTTTCTTTCTTTCTTTCTTTCTTTCTTTCTTTCTTTCTT